AGTGTCGGCGACGCCTAATGCAAGACGTGCTCATTGTGGGTCTAGGAAACATGGATACTTGGGTTGTTGGGAGCGATTGATCTGTGACAACTTGGAGAAGAAGGGTCACCCATCTGATCGTTGCGGTTTGTGTGCCGAGGCTGTGGAGAAACTCACGAGGTTGGGAAGTGCCAGATGGAATAGTCTTACAATTTGATTCGCCAATGGTATAACCCGACCAAGCACGCCGAGATGATGCAGGAGAAATCTGAGAAGATGATAAATTAGGACGCTCGCCAGGTTAAAATCTGGAACGAGACGAGCGTTCTGATTGCTGTATCTTTGCATATGTGTAAAAGCAGTCCAAGGAAGGAAGGGGTACTCGAGATAACGTGATTGACAAATATATCGAAGTTTGGAAGCTACCCTATGGTCCATGTTGCTTTTCTGAATGCACCTCATGACTTTGCACGAGAGAATGCAGTGATGGAGTTGGACCTATTTCCAGGAGAATCCGGGGGATACTGGAAATACCATGCTCCCAATAATTTGTTCAGGCAAGATAAGACCTCTGGAAAGGTCAACAATGATCGCGCAACTTGTTGTTTGATACTGGCGACGAGATATCCATCCTGGACATCGCCTTTACTTGTATGGTAGGCTGCTAAACTGAAAAACGACAAGAAAAATTTGTTGGTATCTGGGAATCTGTATATACTACGGTAGGACGCACCCGCATCATGGTCACCCAGAATGAAAACTTGGTGCATATCGTTAAGGTGTGGGTAGGCCCGATGGTGGATCAAGACGTAATTTTGGGAATGGACATCATGAACCCAGCCGGTATTCGGTTAGATCTGGCGGATGGAACACTATGTCTCACCGATGAAATTCGAGTTCACTTATCAGGAGGGGGGACGATGTACGAACATCGGGTATCAGATGTGAAATTGGGTCGATATGCACACATACCGGTTGAAGAGTACGTGTAAGTACCTCTAAAAAAGTCGACCTCGGACCAATTGAAAGTGTGGGTCAAAAGGAGAACGAAGGGTCACGACCATGAACAAAGCGATAGAACATCGGAAATTCCTGAAGGTGACCAATGTCAGCTCCCACTCCCTAATATTGCACGATGACACCAAGATCGGTATGTGGTTGATGAAGGACCAAGTACCAAGAGCGGAGGGCTTCGTCTTGGTGGGATATCGAAGATACGACGAGTGGCTGAATCTGGCGTATGAATCCACCACCGAACAGGTCGACCATCAGATACATCCAACGGAGGATGATGAAGGGCCGTTGGTGGAGACGCCACAGTACGACTTCCCCATTAAGCATGCTACAGCTGCCAAGTGCACCCGCTCCAGTAATGACAATGTCTTCCCGACCTGCCTCGATCCTCGACCAAGGACCTCGGACCTCGGACCCCGCAAAGTGTCGGCGACGCCTAATGCAAGACGTGCTCATTGTGGGTCTAGGAAACATGGATACTTGGGTTGTTGGGAGCGATTGATCTGTGACAACTTGGAGAAGAAGGGTCACCCATCTGATCGTTGCGGTTTGTGTGCCGAGGCTGTGGAGAAACTCACGAGGTTGGGAAGTGCCAGATGGAATAGTCTTACAATTTGATTCGCCAATGGTATAACCCGACCAAGCACGCCGAGATGATGCAGGAGAAATCTGAGAAGATGATAAATTAGGACGCTCGCCAGGTTAAAATCTGGAACGAGACGAGCGTTCTGATTGCTGTATCTTTGCATATGTGTAAAAGCAGTCCAAGGAAGGAAGGGGTACTCGAGATAACGTGATTGACAAATATATCGAAGTTTGGAAGCTACCCTATGGTCCATGTTGCTTTTCTGAATGCACCTCATGACTTTGCACGAGAGAATGCAGTGATGGAGTTGGACCTATTTCCAGGAGAATCCGGGGGATACTGGAAATACCATGCTCCCAATAATTTGTTCAGGCAAGATAAGACCTCTGGAAAGGTCAACAATGATCGCGCAACTTGTTGTTTGATACTGGCGACGAGATATCCATCCTGGACATCGCCTTTACTTGTATGGTAGGCTGCTAAACTGAAAAACGACAAGAAAAATTTGTTGGTATCTGGGAATCTGTATATACTACGGTAGGACGCACCCGCATCATGGTCACCCAGAATGAAAACTTGGTGCATATCGTTAAGGTGTGGGTAGGCCCGATGGTGGATCAAGACGTAATTTTGGGAATGGACATCATGAACCCAGCCGGTATTCGGTTAGATCTGGCGGATGGAACACTATGTCTCACCGATGAAATTCGAGTTCACTTATCAGGAGGGGGGACGATGTACGAACATCGGGTATCAGATGTGAAATTGGGTCGATATGCACACATACCGGTTGAATAGTACGTGTAAGTACCTCTAAAAAAGTCGACCTCGGACCAATTGAAAGTGTGGGTCAAAAGGAGAACGAAGGGTCACGACCATGAACAAAGCGATAGAACATCGGAAATTCCTGAAGGTGACCAATGTCAGCTCCCACTCCCTAATATTGCACGATGACACCAAGATCGGTATGTGGTTGATGAAGGACCAAGTACCAAGAGCGGAGGGCTTCGTCTTGGTGGGATATCGAAGATACGACGAGTGGCTGAATCTGGCGTATGAATCCACCACCGAACAGGTCGACCATCAGATACATCCAACGGAGGATGATGAAGGGCCGTTGGTGGAGACGCCACAGTACGACTTCCCCATTAAGCATGCTACAGCTGCCAAGTGCACCCGCTCCAGTAATGACAATGTCTTCCCGACCTGCCTCGATCCTCGACCAAGGACCTCGGACCTCGGACCCCGCAAAGTGTCGGCGACGCCTAATGCAAGACGTGCTCATTGTGGGTCTAGGAAACATGGATACTTGGGTTGTTGGGAGCGATTGATCTGTGACAACTTGGAGAAGAAGGGTCACCCATCTGATCGTTGCGGTTTGTGTGCCGAGGCTGTGGAGAAACTCACGAGGTTGGGAAGTGCCAGATGGAATAGTCTTACAATTTGATTCGCCAATGGTATAACCCGACCAAGCACGCCGAGATGATGCAGGAGAAATCTGAGAAGATGATAAATTAGGACGCTCGCCAGGTTAAAATCTGGAACGAGACGAGCGTTCTGATTGCTGTATCTTTGCATATGTGTAAAAGCAGTCCAAGGAAGGAAGGGGTACTCGAGATAACGTGATTGACAAATATATCGAAGTTTGGAAGCTACCCTATGGTCCATGTTGCTTTTCTGAATGCACCTCATGACTTTGCACGAGAGAATGCAGTGATGGAGTTGGACCTATTTCCAGGAGAATCCGGGGGATACTGGAAATACCATGCTCCCAATAATTTGTTCAGGCAAGATAAGACCTCTGGAAAGGTCAACAATGATCGCGCAACTTGTTGTTTGATACTGGCGACGAGATATCCATCCTGGACATCGCCTTTACTTGTATGGTAGGCTGCTAAACTGAAAAACGACAAGAAAAATTTGTTGGTATCTGGGAATCTGTATATACTACGGTAGGACGCACCCGCATCATGGTCACCCAGAATGAAAACTTGGTGCATATCGTTAAGGTGTGGGTAGGCCCGATGGTGGATCAAGACGTAATTTTGGGAATGGACATCATGAACCCAGCCGGTATTCGGTTAGATCTGGCGGATGGAACACTATGTCTCACCGATGAAATTCGAGTTCACTTATCAGGAGGGGGGACGATGTACGAACATCGGGTATCAGATGTGAAATTGGGTCGATATGCACACATACCGGTTGAATAGTACGTGTAAGTACCTCTAAAAAAGTCGACCTCGGACCAATTGAAAGTGTGGGTCAAAAGGAGAACGAAGGGTCACGACCATGAACAAAGCGATAGAACATCGGAAATTCCTGAAGGTGACCAATGTCAGCTCCCACTCCCTAATATTGCACGATGACACCAAGATCGGTATGTGGTTGATGAAGGACCAAGTACCAAGAGCGGAGGGCTTCGTCTTGGTGGGATATCGAAGATACGACGAGTGGCTGAATCTGGCGTATGAATCCACCACCGAACAGGTCGACGCCATCAGATACATCCAACGGAGGATGATGAAGGGCCGTTGGTGGAGACGCCACAGTACGACTTCCCCATTAAGCATGCTACAGCTGCCAAGTGCACCCGTTCCAGTGATAATTTCGTTATTCTAGCCAAGGACCGCTTAAAAAATCCAACGTGGCTGAGTTAGGTGCTCATTGAGGACACACCGCATAAGGATGACCAAGTGTTCATCTGTGAATGTAAAAAAGCTTGGCTGAAGAAGCAATCCATGGGTGGGCGGTCATATTGGAGGTGGATCTTTAATCTAGAATTGTTGGGTTGGAGGAAATACACAGCATTGATTCAGACGGGAATACTTCCGAGAAGGTGGACCAGCTGCGCCAGATAATACGGTCCGACGGCAGTCAAGATGATTGTAGGCAGCATATTTATACAAAAAAACACTTCTTACATTCGGTATCGGAATAAGATCTCTGGAATTTTTGCCCGATCATGCCGAATAATCAACAGTAAAGTAATACCTTTGCATATCAATTTTATTCAGAACGATGACCAATTACGTTCAGATTCTGAAATGTCTAAAAGGCTTGATGGTACGCGCTTTGGGGTGCGGCGTTGTATCAAGTTATGGACTGAAAGATGATACATTTCACACAGAGCTACACTGTCACCAGCTATCATTGTTCTCGAGAAGTTTGGATTCTTATACCGAAGAAATGACGCAGAGTGCGGTCTATCGAAGGTGGCTTGGACAAGTGTATGTGACCCACACTATTTTAATACATTTACCATTTTGTAGCTTTTAGTACCATGGGAAATGGGATAAGTCGTCTAAACCATCAGAGTCCACAGGACTCAAAGGTTCAACACCCTTGCTCTCCCTACACAACTCGACGTGGGTCTTTTCGCTGTGTACAAAACTTCAGCATACCATCTCCGTCAATTTCAATGGAAACAGTGAATTCACCCCCTTTGCAACGCAGCAGCAGCTCGACTTCTGGGTTAAAAAACCCTAAGAAGGAGCGTACAATTCAGCGCATGGACAAGGCCATTCGCCGTCGTGTGAGAGGAAGCGTTACGTACAACATGAAGCTATTGATTCGTGGTTCCAAGGGAACGGGTAAGACCTCTCTTTTTCAGCGACTTCAAGGTGACCCTATTCCCGAGACGCACGAGACCACGCCCCAGCTTCAATCTGCCACTATCAAATGGAATTTCTCGCAGAATTTGGAGGAAAACGTTAAGTGTGAGGTTTGGGACGTGGTCGACCAAGGATTTGTTCCTGTAAAAGTAAGGAAGGGGGATGAAGAAGTTGCCATAAGACAAGAGGATGCTAATGCTGTGGGACAAGGAGGTCTACAAAGCCAGGAAAATGTATTGGGTGAAGTAATTGTACCGGCTGAGCATGATATTACTATACAGAATAAGGCCCACGCGATGGCTGTTGTGGATGCCTCGACCGTAAACGTGTATCATGAAGCTCATGGAGTGATCTTTCTGCTGGATATTACTAAGTGGGATACGCTAGAGTATGTAAAGCAACAGCTTGATAACGTGCCAGTAGACGTTCCGACGTTGGTGCTGGGAAACTTTCGAGACCAAGGGACACAGAGAAAGGTATTTAAAGAAGATATCGAGGAAATGCTATACGGGTCGAGTATTCGGCCGCAACAACAACAGTGGAGGCGACCTACCGAGTTGCTATATTTTGAATGCTCGTTATTGAATTGTTTTGGACTGAAATCGTTGCACCAATACTTTGGCATCCCATTTTTAAAACTTAAGTTGGTGACCATCAGGAATCAAATGCATATTGTGGAAGGTGACTTGATTCGCGTGAATCGCGATGTTCAAGCTACAATAACAGAACAGCACTATGCGGAGTATGTGGAGCACATTAAAACGACAAAATCGGATATTCGGACTGGGAGACGTAGCTTTGAGAAGAATAGCACACCACCAGGTGTATCATCCAACAACTCAGCTATGTTAGCTTCTAACAAAATTGATCAAGAAAAGCCTGCGACGCTCCAGTATAGCACGGAAAATGGAAGCAAGGAAAATAGTGCTAAGATGTCTCCAAAAGCTACAACTTCTGAGACTTCACCACACGAGGTGACAGGATCCCAAGACACGACGAATTTACCTTCAAGAATTAGCAGTGTCGTCGTAGGCACAGTGCCGTCATTAAGGCTTCAACAGAAGGAAAGAGAAATCGCATCAGTTACAGGTCATCCAACTGACACCAATTTCGTGAAAACTGGAGATACACATTCACTTCTCTGCGAAACGAGCATTGAATCAGTGTCTGTAAATAGTGCTAGTCCAAGCCGTTCTAGGAAGGCGTTGATTGAAGACGTGATTCGTCTTGAGGACTTCCAGGCGCCACGATCGCGCTTTGGTGACCTTGAACATTTTTATTCGGAGGATGACACTGATCAAGATATCGGTGATAACGATGTGGATGTAGCGGTGGCACCTGCGAATGGATTGATGAAGGCAAGTACTATTCACCCATATCACAAACAGTGTTTCCTTGACTCCGATTCTTCGGACTCGGCTGAAGAGCTGACAAATATGCAGCGAAGACGAAAAGATAAGACGCCTTACAAAAATGGTTCACGTTACAGCGCAACCAAACCGTCGAAAAATGCTACTTCCAATCTGACAAGACCTCATCTGTCTGCGATGCGCTCATCTTCTCAATACTCGTGGTTAACTGATGCCCCATCAATGGAGAGAATCGCGCCGTGTTCAGCACGTTTGCAACCTAGCAGTCCAATGATGGGTTTTCAAAGTGTACCACGCGAGGAGCCTTCGCAGCAGCGGCCGTCGCTTTGTTTTACAAGCGATACAGCTCTAACTTTGGCACATCCTGCTGCCCCCCCTCCCGCTCCTGCGTCGGCTTCGTTGTCTCTTCACATGGGTCCAAGAATTAAGAGCGAAAACAACTCTGCAGCGCCACATTCGGAAATGCTTGTATCGGTATTGCAAGACGAGGGGAAATTGAAAAACAGTTTTTCTCACGTGAGGAAGCTGAGCTTGCAGGAACAATAAATTCGATTAGCTTTGGTAGGCATCGGCAAAGACCCCTTAAAAATGAGAGTTTGAAGAGTGTGAATCATGACATGTACTCTTTCGCTAATGGTATATACGACAAAGCTAGCATCAGTGCCACTACTGCTACTACTACTTCGCATGCTACGGAAAGCAAGAAGATGGCTGGATCTGTTGTGCCAATACAAAAGGCCTTCGACAGCGGCATCAACAGCGATCCGGATGATAATGTTCATGCTCCCGTGCACGACCAAAGAACAATGTTTTTACAAAAGAAGTGCAACAGGGGTCAGCAGATGTCGGTTTTAGCGGGTTGAGTGCAGGTGAGCTGTTTACTGTCCTTGTGGATGATGGGAAAGTAGAGCATAATCACGATACAGCTGCAACTACGCAAGAAACCAAAGATAAAGATAAGCCACACAATTCAGTCGCTCCGAGGTTGCTTCAACGTAGTTCGCAGATACGCATGGATGATGACGAAATTGACGGCGGTGCAAGCAAATTGGAAGGACGTTACAGTAAGGGAAATCTGTACGAAACGGGTGAGCTTCCTTCATTGTCTGGGCTCCAAACACCACTACCATCGTATGGCGAGGCTGCATCACTCTTTTTATCAGTTCGTGAAACGACCGCAGGATCAAAAATGAATTGTCCTTGTGGTGCCAGTGATTCAAATAAAGACGCGGCGCTGGGGTTGCCTGACCTTCAAACAATTCCGTCGGTGGCATTGGCTTTGAATGCTGATGTGGTTGACATGACGACTGTTTTTTTTTATTTTAAGCAATGATTTAGAGGCCTTTTTGAACGAAAGTGATAGTGATCTGGAGAATACATCACCGTCAGCCGAACTTGCTAAAGACAACGAACAGAAAACAAAACAACGACGAGTCGACATAACACTGATATTCGAGTCTGGTGATGATCACGAAGAAGCAGATGACCAGGACCGATTTGCGAGTTACAACATTAGCAAGAAAAATCGGGCTAACTGGAAACGTCAGCACGAGAAGGACTTGCGTCAGCTGAATGCCGCGCTCAACGCGATAAAAGATCCTTTCACCTCCTCGGCAGGTGCTGTAGCATCGACAAAGTCGTCTGTCGGGACATCAGATGTGATGGATGCTATTTGCAAGGCACAAGAAGATGCTATGCGCATGCTTCCAATCGATCTAGTGCCCGAAGTTGTCTATACTAATTCCAGCTTGTCCAGCAAGAGCAACACTCACAAACAAAGAAACACAAGAAACGGGTATGAGTTTCGGCCGCAAGCAAGAGTCGAATCGAAAAGCAGTTGGGAGTCTGCCTTGTGCTCGCTTTCTGACATGCTAAGCAAATAGCCTCGCTGCAAAGCTTATTTATCTGTCCTTACGCTTTGGATAAATCTGGTCTATTGGTGGTGCAGGACCACGATCATTTTAATATTGTCGCGATACAATAATCGTACTCTCTCTTTCATATCCCGTTAGAGCTAAGCGAGCACTGCTCCTTTTGTGATTACATAAATTCTTATACGTGCTTTGAGAGTTCAACCAAGAGTGACGAATACCAAGGCGATCATTCATGTATGACGCTTTGATGTCTCAATAATACACATTGTCAATTAAATCATTGCTGCCAGAACACCAGGCCTATCAAAAGACGACTGGAGTTAACTTTAGATTTAACAGAAGGACGAACACTTCAAAACATTGGGTATCTTAAATTGCATAACACAGACTACTAATTTGTCTTTCTTGCTTAGACCAACCTCTGGATCACTGCTTTTGCTCCATCGGGTGTTTTATGGCTACGTATCTCTTCAATGAAAACTCCGTCTTTGAGAGTAATTACTTACCAATGTCACTACGACCTGTCGACAAAAACCCATGTACTTTAACTTCATCCTATTAGAAGAAATGCAAGATGGTGAGAGTGTGTTGATGTTGGGCCGACCACTCTCGGCAGGTGGGTGCAGCAACGATCAGTAAATTAAATGGTTGGATGGTAGAGAGCGTAAGAAACATTGTTTGTTGGGCGTTATAACAATATCACTTTTACTTTTCACAGCATCCTCTCGACTTGTAAAATCTAACAGCTTATGAGGCTAATTGGCGATAAAGTTGCTGCAACTGAAGGTCGTCAGCAGCGGAGGGCAGATTCCGGTCGCGAAAGGGTCGGCACCTTGGAGAATGTAAAGTGGTCAAGGAAGAACCAAGGGACGCGCAGAGCAAGCGCGGGGCATGAAACGGGGTTACACATAGTTGCGTATTGTACATACACACCTGCCACACCATTGTGGTGTGGCTGTGCCTTGGGTATATTGATGGGTTGATGTGACCGCGAAGGGTCGCATCGAAAGTGGTCAGTATACTTAGTTGAGTATAGTGACTATACAAATTTACGTATTAGGTGGCTACAGAGCCGGATAAATAAGTAACTAGCACTAAGTATAGAGTAGGTGCTTCTATGTTTAGTGTTAGAAGATAAACATAAATATAAATCAGTTTCGACCCTGCTCTGTAAGCCTTACAGCTTGAGCGTTCTACAGCTTCTAAAGAATCAGTAATATTGATATTAGCCTCTTTGAGACTCGGTGATTAATACCGATAGGCACAAGCCTACGAGCTAGCCTAGATGAGGTTGAGCACGCTAAGACGTAGAAGCTCTCTGAGCTTGTCTTCCTCTGCACATAGTGCATAAGTAGCATAGTTACAGTAGCTCGGCTACACATGGTAGCACTTGTTAGTCTATCACGCAACTGGTTCAGCGACTACTTGTCTGTGCGTATGGACATCGACGAGGTGTCATCGGTTGGCCTGTCGCAGGCACAACAGGGAAGCTGCTCCCTATCCTTGGCCCTAAGGGCGTGGAATACCTCATCGCCTAGGGCGAAGAAGAGGTTAACAAGCGTATTCTAATGCTTGATGAGTATAATAAAGCTCTAGTCGAGCATGTAAAGGCACAGATGCCTTCTCCTGCGTCTTCGCTCATGAGCAAGAAGTGGTCCGCAGACCAAAACCCATACAAATGGAAGTCGATAAGTTCGACGGCAAAGAAGGTGACAACCTTATGCTGTGGTTCCGACAGGTCGAGTCGGCTATGTTTATAGCCGACATCACCTATGAACCGTACCGTGTGGGCTTTGCCACGGGTAAGCTGGGCGGGTTAGCCAAACAGTGGACATTCACATGTGGCGCATCATTGCAAGATGCTTTTTCCACATAGGCCAATCTGATAGTTCAGATGACCCGACAGTATGCACCGCCAAACCAAGCACACCGTAACCGGTCGCGGTTTTTGGCGTGTCGCCAAGGCAAGCGTGAGCTTGCGGCATATATACAAGAGTTGAGAACTCTCATTGCTGCCATGGTCAAAGACCCTATGCCTGAGGCAGTGACCGTCACGGTCTTTATGGAGGGCCTCCAAATTGGCGTGCCAGAACGGAAGTCTTCCGGGTAAGCCCGTCCTCATTCGAGGAAGCTGTTGGAGTGGCATGTAATGCCGAGACCACCTTAAAGCCGCTAGGCCTGCCACTTATAACTACTCGTCTGATGGTTCTGTACCCATGGACTGTAGTCAAGTGGAGGATGAAGAAACTGAACTTCAAACTGCAAAGCGCACATTAAGCGCAGATGCTATATTCGTAACAGCACAGGCCATTTGATGGCAAAATGCCCTGCAAGAAAGGCATCTTTGGCCTTGAAGGGCTGATGCACCATGTATAAACCTTCTGGTTTGCCGCGGGGAAACGGCGGAGCCCAGTAGGCGCGGGGCGCCCTAGTGGGGAAGAACTGAGTTCTGTTGAGCCTCTAGGAGGTAGAAGTAAACAGGGCCCAGCCCCAAAGAGATCCGAACTCTTAAATACGGAACGAGAATGCAAGACAGGCTTGCTAGTAGTCGAAGGGACGATTAAGGGCTATGAAAAGCCATGGATTATTTTGGTCGATTCGGGGGCATCGGGCAATTATGTGCGCCATGCCACCGTGTAAGGTAGTAAGGAGTATGCTGAAGCGCTTAGAGCGCGTGAAAGTGACACAGTCACAGTTCGCTTAGCAACTGTTACGCGTGTTACGGTATTCAAAGTCCCGACGGACTTAAATGTAAAGTTCTTGGACTTTAACAGCATGGAACGCTGTTTGGTCTTAGACCTGGATGCGAGGTATGACCTCATCCTAGGTATGGCATGGCTAGAACGTCATGAGCCATGGATTGATTGGAGGTCGAAGACCTTAGGCGCAACGCGCAATGCTCCTGGTGGGGCTCTGGAGAGTCATGAACCCACCTGTGCTCGGAAGCAAAAGCGCTTTTGGCGCGGATATTGGACCGAGTCGGTCACTATGTTGGATGTCGGAATATCCGACTTTGTAGACACTGTAAGTGTCGAGGACAATAGTCCTGGGCGAGGCCCAAGGACTGTCAATAGTGTGGTTGAGAACCCACTAGATGGCACACATGACATGTGTCTTGAGAATGGTGTGTCATCATTAAACACCGTGAGTGGTGTTGGTGGCTGCAAGCCAAGATGTCAGGTCAATAGTCCAAGTGATATGAATGACGAGGTACTGACCCTGGAGGGTCGGGTGAGGTCCCCAATGGATGTTGACTTTGAATAAAAGAAGCTGCAACAACGTAGTGACAATGAAATAGCTCGAGAGGGTTGGGTGAAGTTACCAATAGATATTCTGCTGGTGAAAACGAGGGGCATGCACCTAACGACGAGGTAATGGCCCAAGAGGGTAGGTGAAGTCAAAATGACGGGCGTCTTTGAGGACAACGAGGTGCAAGCACCTCATGACGAGACATTGACCCAAGAGGGTGGGGTGCAGTCAGTAAACGAAGAGGTCTTCGACCTTGAGGTGTGTACACCTGCGGACGCTGATGCGTCGGATGCTGATAGCATCATGAGCAGCGATGGTGATATCTGAGTGACGGTGATAGCGAACAGCTATATAGACTCGTCAATGGTTTGACTGGAGATGTTGAAGAGCCGGTGGCTCTTTCAGCTCTACCCGCAGTAATTG